GCCACAAAAAGAACCACATAGTAAAATAATATTAACATGAATATAAATTTCTTCTCGCGAGGAGAGACTATAGTGATAGGATCCTTTATATTTATCGGAGTTATTGGATCTAAAAGAGATAAATATCAAATGATTTGAAAATTTTATTCTAATTAAAAAAAAAAATGCAAAATATTAAACACACAAGCGGATTTGTACTTCGTACCCTAAGCGTGAAAGAGACAAGTGTTACCGATTCGACAACTATTCGTTGCTTTCGACACATAATAAAATTGACTATTTAAGCCAACTCAAATTTAAAAATTACTTTTACGACTTTAAAAAAGTAAAAAAAATTTAATAAGTTTAATTTCTTATGTCTTATAAACTTTATTCTATGTCAATTAAATTAAATAATATTCATGAAAGTCAGTGTATTCCCCTAATAAGATATTTTAAAATAAGATAAAATACAAAACCATGAATTTTAATACAAAAATAGCATGTTTTTTAATACGGTAGTTATTTGCGCATAGATGAAAGGTCGTCAGGAAAAATTTTATTTTTTAATTTTATAGTACATGACATAAGTTTTAATTTGACATATGTTTAAAGGACGCAGTATTTCTGGAACATTTTCAAAAGTTAAATTGAAAAAGTTAGTATTTGTAAAAAAGTTGCTATTTTAAATCCCCCCCAATGAGCAGGTTAAGTGTTAAATTTAAAAAAAAATGATATTTAATAAAAGGGAAATATCTAAGGTTTTAGTTTAAAAAAAAATTATGTTGATTTGTTGATTTTTGAAAAAGTTATGGAAGTTTTAAGAAAAAAAAGTGAAAAAAATGACAAAATTTACCGATTTTTAAAATTGTAATTTTTTTGGAGATTTACGATTTCCCCCATTTTGGAGATTTCCCCCATTTGCGGGGAACAAGGGAAAATTTTTCCATTTTTAAGGGTAATGTCTTCAACTACATACGATTTGTGATCTTTTGACGTATTGTTGAAAGAAATCGATCCAGTGAGAGCTGAGAAAAAGTAGTGACAGACACAAAAAAAAAATAAATAAATACATCATGGTAAAATTAATACCTTCTCAGCTTCGCATCGAAGCTAAAAA